ATGTTATTATCAGTACTAATAGCAATCAAAAATATCTAAATGAGTTTCCAAAAATTTATGAAAAGTTAAACAGGTGAGCTAGGTAGAACTACTAATTAAATCCTATTTGTAAAGGCAATCTGTAAATAAAAAAAACACAGTAGACATGGCATGTAATTTTGCCATTTTGGCAAATTGGTTTAGAGCCCTAAAGGGATTTTGCAAAGCTTGTGGCGACTAGACACTGGATAATCTGCATTATATATTTTTAAAATTTGTTTTAGAATGATGGGGGAACTCATTTTCCGGGACAGTATCTGACAGTCATAGGACATGATCTCTAATTAATTTCTGTTTGTGAAATTTTTTATTTATTAGGAAAATGCAACAATATTTATGACAAATCTCACAAGTAAAATGAAGTCCTGAGCCAGTGACTTGGAAATTTAGGAAAATTTATACAGTATTTTTAAAAATGAGAATTGTGATACTAAGCACAACATGTCGGCTTTTGCTTTTGTAACTTCAATTAAATAAGAGCAGATGGTACAAGGGAGCTGTGTGGTATGACATGACTGTTTCCAGTTGCGAGAATTTTAAACCTTATGTCATAACTTATTTATTTTTATCTTGTTAGTCTGACTAAAACCGACTGAAAAATACTTTTTGGTGAAAATCTGATAGGGGTAGTATCTGTTCCTTTAGGGTTACAAATGATAAAATTCAAGTAATCCGACACTGGGTGCCCATTGTCAGGACTCCATTTCTGTAGGGCTCTAGCAGCTGTTTCTCTGTACTTGATAATTGAAACTGATTTGAGTGGACTCTTGTTTCTCTTTCTCTTTCTAAGATTTTGTTAGCATTTGTTATTCAGTTGGCAAGTGGAAATCAGACACAATGAGCATTAATTTTTTTCATTTATAGTAATTGATAAGAATGTTGTATCTTTGATTTCAGAAGTTGAAATATAGATTTATGATTAAATTAACAATTTAAGGAGCAGTATTCCTTGATGCTTTCAATATATGATTTAAAAAAAATCTTACTTGTTCATAAGGCTAAGATAATGGCTAATTTTACAAGATACTTTTGCAAATTATGAAAGCTCCTTTCAAAGTAGTAGACATGTTTAAAGCTTTGTTTGACAGATTTTTAATCCCATTTTCCCTTTCTTTAATCATATGCATTTCTTTTTCTTTTCAGACAACAAAGACTTCACAAAAGAGAGGAAAAAGCAAAAGCACAGAAGACAGTGAGGAACCTGTACCAAAGAGGAAGAGAATAATGCAGTTGAGTGATTCAGAATCCAGTAGTGATGAAGGTATGTATGGAGTCTTTATATCATCTTTATATCATTGCCAGTCAGAATAATAATTTGTGTTCTTTATAGTAGGTAAGTTGGTTTGTTTATTTTTTTTTCTTTTTATCATAACATTATAATACTAAAATTGCGATGCAACCCTTCAATAAAAAAAATCCCAAAACTGATAATATACTGTATCCTCTTGTCCAGATTTTTAATTGTGGAGACTGTGCTTGAACTTTAAATATCCTCATTTAATAATACATAATCAGAGCCTAACTTCAACTGCCCTAAAAACATTCCAGAAGGTGAGGGTGAGGAAGAAAACCCCTTCCCTCCGAGCCCACCCCCTGAGCCTACTCGCATTGAGTCCGACTCCGAGGAAGATATTCCACCCACACCGCAGCCCGAATCCAAAGTGGATCTGATGCGGAGCGAAACACGAGGAAGGAGGAAGAAGCTTGTTGATAAGACCTTTATGGATGAGGAAGGCTTCATTGGTAAGTTTCTCAATCTGTAAATTTAGAATTTCATATTCTTTTCTGTAGACTTTTAACGTATTCATGATGGGGTCTCCTTTAGTTATTTCAAGCCATGGGCAGAGTGGGGTGTGGAGTCAGCCACTCAGCATGTTTCTTGGTAATCAGGCTAGAAATATGTGTTAAGCCTAATTTTAAGAGGTTGTTTGCTATCATTAACTGCATGATGTGATAGGATGTCATCTGTCATGAGTGGATTAATATTTTGATTAGGTGTCTTTATGGTTATAGTTTGATTTGATCTGTCTCT